CTGCGGCAGAAAGAGTGGCGGGTGGCGGAGGCCAAGGGCAGGAGATTGAAATCAGGGGAATGGTGAGGAAGGAAGCAGAGAGAATGGTCATGGAAGCGTCAGCAATGTAGAAGCAGCAGAGGGGAGCAGACAGGACCCCTCCTGGCCCCGTGGCACAAGGCAACATGGCAGGCAAACCACCCGGCACCTGAGAGGGCTGTAGGAATGGCAGCATCCTCAGAGGGGAAGGGAACCAGGTTTTCATTAAAGCAGGAAGGTGAAGGGACCGTTCAGAGGACAGTTTGAGGGTACAGGGGATTTTGCTAATGAAGAGTCAGTGGGTTCCAGAGGGTAGGCTGCCCAAGTTTCTAGAATTGAGGGAAGGTGGCAGATGAGGTCAGATTAGGGGGGATTGGAATTCAGGTGTTGGGTGGTGACCTGGGAGTTTAGGGCTTCTTCTTTTTTTTTTTTTTTAAAAATTTATTGATTTATTTAGAGCACAGCAAGTGCACACACAAGGCAGGGGGAGGGACAGAGGGGGAGGGGAGGGAGAGAATCCCAAGCAGACTCCGTGCTGAGCATGGAGTCAGACTCGGGGCCCGATCCCACGATCCCGAGATCACAACTTGAGCCGAAACCATGAGTCGGGTGTTTAACCAACTGAGCCACCCAGGTGCCCCAGAGTTTGGGGCTTCTTATAGTGACTGAGGTGACCAGGGATGGAGGGCACAATGGGATTGCTTGTCTCCATGGCAAAGCATGGTGGTGCGGCTGGCAGGGTTGCGCACTGGGACAAAGGAGGTCATACTCTGGCCATGGACAGAGTCCATGCCCGTCATGTTTTAGGCAGTCTGAGCCTGGAGGCCTGCTGGGGTTTATCAGTCTACTCTTCGGATAAAAAAAAAAAAAAAAAAGGATGTTGACTTGGGTGTGAGAAGGAAGCTAATGACCTGTGTAGTTTAAAACATTTTTAGTGATTTTTGTTTTTCAATTGCTGTGATGGTAGGACTTTTGGTCTAAAGCCTCAGGAATCTTCCAGCTAAAAAGGCACCAGGATAGGTACGTTGGAGTAGCATTCCAGATGTGAGCTCTGTAGGGCAGAAATGAATCAGCGAAGCGGAACTCCTGGGGCAAGTATGGCACTTTCCAGATCGTGTTTGTGAAAATGGGGAAAAGAGGGTGGTGGAGGCTCTGTGAGAAAGTTTTGGGGACTCAGGACAGATCCAGTGCTCAGTAAAGAAAACTACCTGTTTTCTTCTTCAATGCTGAATGTCCTTTACCCCCGTCCTTGCCCCGTCTCTTCTTCATTTTTTTTTTTAAAGATTTTATTTATTTGAGACAGAGAGTGTGCTCGAGTGGGAGGAGGGGCAGAGGGAGAGGGAGAGGGAGAGAGAATTGGAAGCAGACCCCATGCTGAGCATGGAGCCTGCCGTGGGGCTCGATTCCACCACCCTGAGATGACCTGAGCTGAAACCAAGAGCCAGACATTCAACTGACTGAGCCGCCCAGGCGCCCTGCCCCGTCTCTTATTTGGATGTCATTTCACAGCTCTGTGGCTCAGTTTCCTTATCTGTCAAATGGGGATGACCATTGTTCTTGCTTCACAGCGACTTGTAATGGTTAAGTGTGATAGTACCTGTAAAAGTGTGTAACCCAGTGCATGACACATAAGTACTTAGTAAGCATTGTTACGAAATGACAAGGGGTTGATTCTTGCTCCCATTCCACTCCCTTCTTCCTGCCACTTGGGTGTTTTTTTTTCTCTTACGCTGCCCTCTTCTCTTTCATCTCCTCCCTCCCTTCCTCTCCCAGTTGCCCTCCTCCCCCCCCAACACACACACTTCCTCCTTTGCCTCTATCCCCTTTCTCCTCTCTGGCTGGGGCTGTCGGAGGTGCCCACACCTAGTTTTACACTCTCCATGGCCCTTCTGAGGTGGGGAACTCTTGAAATAGGGGGTGAGGCAGCCCTCCGAGGAAGGAAAATGTTTCTGGGGGGGGGCAGCCTCCCAGCCACCCTAAGATTTGTGACCAGGGTGCCTAGAAAGTCACAGAGGGCTAGTGCCAAGAGCCTCGGGAGTTGAGAGGCCTGTGTTGTCGGCCAGGTCTGGCCACTGCATGGTATGGGGGCCTGGGCTCACAGTGGACCAGAGCAGGCCGCGAAGGTGAGGAGTGTGTGAACAGGGAAGGGCTGGGCCCAGTTCCCATGTGGAGGGTTACCACACACCCACTGAGCACAGCCGTGTCATGCTTCTTTAGGAGAGAGGGGAACAGGAGGGTAGTGTAGGGTACCAGCTGATACTATAAACTCTAGAGCCAGACTGCCTGGGGTTGGATTCTGGCTCTGTTACCACATGAGCTGCGTGTACTTAGTCCGCAAACCTCTCTGTGCCTCAGTTTCTCATATCTGGAGATAATTGGAACAGCACGGTTGTTATGAGGACTGGGTGAATTGATAGTGAAGAAAGTGCTTACTAGTTCTAGGCATATAAGTACTGTATGCATGTGTGTTATATTAAAAATTTAAAAAAAAATTGAGACACCTGGGTGGCTCAGTCGGTTAAGCATCTGGTTTCCGCTCAGGTCGTGATCCCAGGGTCCTGCGATCGAGTCCCGCATCTGTCTCTCTGCTCAGTGGGGAGCCTGCTTCTCCCTCTGCCTGCCACTCGCCCTGCTTGTGCTCACTCTCTCTCTGACACATAAAGTCTTAAAAAAAGACCTCTAAAAATTAAAAAAAAAAATACAACAATCTTAGAACAGTGTAATTCTTTTCATTTTACTGGTGCTGAAATAGGTGGAGAGGTTAAGTGACTTGCTGGAGTCCACAGGGCTATTAAGGGCATAATGAAATCTAGAAACACAGATTTGACAGACTCCCAAATTGTGGCTCATAGCCGCGGTGCTAAACTGCCTCCCTGGACATGCAGGTGAGGAGTGTGATTTCCAGGAGGCCAGGAGGCCAGGAGACCTGGAACGGAGGAGAAGCAAGCAGGTGCTGAGAGTCCAGGGGATGAACAGCAGCTAGGGTCCAGGAGGTGAGCAGAGGTCCTGCTTGAGGACATGGCTGGCTCCGTGCTGGGGGACAGCTGCCTGGCTCCCCAGGCCTGTTCCAGGGAGAGGTCAAGTCCCTTAGGTAGCCAAAGATTCGGATTACAGCCAGAGGGCTGAACCTTCTTCCTGGGACCTTTTCCTCCTTGCCTGTTTTCTGGGTGACCACAGTCAAGCTAGTTAACCCTTTTGCACCTCAGTTTCCTCATCTGTCAAAGAAGGATAAGGATACTTGGCCTGCCTACCTCACGGGGTTTTTGAGAGGCATCAATGGCTCATGGATCTGGAAACAGTTGAAAAAGCATGAAGCAGTCCCCAATTCCAGATGAGAGGGTGAGCCCAGACCCTCTTACTGTGAGGCTCCAATACGGGCCTCCGAGGTCTCCAAAGCTCATGCTAGTGATGTCCACTGTCAAAGCCTTTTCCATCAATTCCAGCATGGTCTATGGAGCCATGTAGAACCTCGTCTCTTTTGGGGGGATTTTACGTCCCTCTGTGAGCGTAAAATAGTAGTTGAGCCCTGTCTGGGTCCGTGGGAAATTTTCCTTCTGTGTGGGCTTTTCTTTTCAAGGGCCAGAACCAACGTCTCTTTCCAGGGTCCACAGTCATCCCAGCCCCCATTCTGGGCGCTCTGCCATCTTTTGGTTCCAGCCCTTGGCACAAGGCAGACTTGGGCTGTTGTTAGCACACAGTCTTGGTTCTGTGCTTGCCTTGTAGGGAACAGGGAGGCAGCTGACCCTTCCCCCGGGTGTCCTTGTCGCTCTGGGCTTCCCTTTAGGGGTGTGTGTGTGTGTGTGTGTGTGTGTGTGTGTGTTGGGGGCCGTGGAAGCCCCAGAGGCCAGGCCTTGTGCCAGTTGCTGAAGTTTTTTTTTTTTTCTCTAGAATTGAGTTGGCCATCCAGCTGTTTCCATTCCTTGCCCTCTGCCAAACTCTGTGGCACGGTCCACCGTGCCAGGTGGAAACCATGCTCTGCTTCAGGAATCCGGAGCTTCCATTTTGAGAGAGTCAGAAAGCTGCAGCGAGTGAGCCCGAGTGTCAGAGGGAGAGTGAGGGTGGGGCTGCTCTCTTTGGCAAGCCTTTGTCAGAATTGGCCCAGCTGCTTGGTCTTCACCCAAAAGTAGGGCTAACTCTGGACCGACCCCAAATATCTAGCGGGGAAACTCTTCTTGGATCTAGACCAAGCCAGACCTAGAAACTACTTTTTTTTTTTTTTAATCCAGAAAATGGGAATAAGAAATCCTACTACACATGTTCTTCATGTCAGCTGAGAAATAAGCTTTTAGACCACCCACCGCCTTCTCAACAGGAGGAAGAAGTGACATCAGGTTGTGTTTCTTCAAGTATATCCCATAGACTGCTGAGGGTTATGTGAACAAAAAAGAAGGGGCGCCTGGGTGGCTCAGTCGTTGGGCGTCTGCCTTCAGCTGAGGCCATGATCCCAGGGTCCTGGGATCGAGCCCCACATCGGGCTCCCTGCTCGGCGGGAAGCCTGCTTCTCCCTCTCCCACTCCCCCTGCTTGTGTTCCCTCTCTCGCTGTCTCTCTCTGTCAAATAAATAAATAAATTTTTTTAAAAAAAAAAAAAAAGGCACTGGCTCACTAAGTTTGGGAAACACTAGATAAACCATTTTAAGCAGGTTTTGTAGTTGCAGAGACCACCCAGATCCTCACTATACCACCAGGATACATGATGACTCTCCAGGGGATCTAGTCGATGTGACATTTCTTCCACTGTAACTAGCTTTCTTCGTGGAACATTCTTTAAGCACCATCCCTGCTTTGGAAGCTGCCAGCCTAGGTCCTAAGTGTCTGTCCCTTCCATTCTTTTTCTCCCTTATTGTGAAGGGAGGTGAGCCCCGGAAACACATGGGAGGGGGTTACGATGTGGGTCCCAAAGAACAAGGGCGTTTCGCTTCAGAAGCCATTGACATGAGTGCTTCCTGCTCTGAAACACCTCTTCCTCTCCTGTCCTTACAGCTCCCCTTCGAACTGGAGGTTTACTACATTCAGCATGTTATGCTCTACGTGGTACCCATCTACCTGCTTTGGAAAGGAGGTAAGACCAGTGAACCATACCTTTGTGCCCCTGCCACACCTCGCCGTGCCCTTCTGTTTGGGGGGATGGCAGTCTGTTGGGTGTCTATCAGGATCTTGGGCTCCTGCCTGGCTGGCTGGCTGCAGGATGTCTTACGCCACACGCCAGGGGTGGGGAGATGGGCACTGATAAGGCCTGCAAAGAGTCTGGGGGGCTTTTCAGAACCATCCTTTGTGGGTGAGCACGGTGCCACTAACTCTGTGTCCTAGGGCCTAGGCCTTGGGCTCATTGTCTGTGGTGGCATTGGGTTTGCATGGAACCCCCCCCACACACACACACTGTCACTCGCTCGTGCTGAGCCTTCCCCCTGCCTCAGTGTGCAGCACAGGGTAGAAGGAGAGATGGAAGCCCCCAGCCCTCTCAAGAGAGGGACCTTGTGCCCTTGCTCATTATATCCATCCTCTCAGAACCAAAGAAGATATTGAGATGGGCAAGAAGTTCAGGGACTGTGAGGTTATAGGATGGAAGGAAGAAGCAGGTAAGAGAACAGCGATCACCTTGTAAAATAAACCATTGATGACCTTGATTTTGTCACAAGGGAGAGACCACCAACTTGGTAGAGACAGCCTAGGAAGGAAACTGACTGAACTCTTTGTGACCTCACAGTGACTCTTGAAGTATCCCTTCCCTCCTCTATTATACGGTAGATAAAAGGGGAGTTCCCATCCCTTCTAGAAGAGTTGTCAGAGGCCTCCCTCTCAGGGCTCTAACCTTCCTGAAAGGCCTGTACCTGGAAGGCCTCCCCTTCTAGTCTCAGCTACTAGCCTCTCTATGTTGGTTGCTGGGACTTTTCAGGGAGACCGCCCCCCACCTCAGTTCAAGCAGCAAGGGCTTCATTTCTATGCATTAAAAATGACATGAGGCCACATGGGCCCTTGAAGCCACCGGAAGATGGTTTCGAAGTTGTGCTTCCTCTAACTCAGGAATCCTGGCAAATCTCGAGAACTTCTGGCCTAAGCCAGCCTCAAGGACCAGTCAACCTGGAGACATGTTGGAGGATGGGCACAGTTGCTCTCCATGGAGGCTCCTGCCAGTGGAGAGATTGGCCCCCTGTGCCCTGGTTTCTGTCAGCGTTCTTAGGGTTTGTCTCAGTATTCTTTGAGGCTGTTTTTACCCTGTGCAGCCACTTGGGGTCTCACCACGTCAGAGAACACTTCCTTTTAATTTGCTCTAAAGGCACTATTCCCCCGTCTAAGCTTTAAGGAACGTCTCAATATCCAGGAGCCGTGGGCCAGTTTTCAGGTCTGTCTCCTGTGGCGCAGGAAACAGCTTCTAATAATATCGAAGTCTGGGGGATACATGCTTTCTGAATAGAACCGGGCAGGCCACTGTCTTGAGCTCCAGACAGCCCCCTCCCCCCTTGCTGAGGCAAGTTCTGGACAAAGGTGCGTGGCTCTTAGTCAAACCTATCTGTGCTCTGAGGTGCCCATAAAAATCTGTTAGGTAGCCGAGCTGGACTGTTCTGACATGGGAAATACCAAGTAGCCATCCCCACTGCCCCCTCCACCCCCCCCCCCACAAAACCCCACAATCTGGGAAGCTGCAGCTTCCAGAAGTGACAGAGGCCACTGCGGCCTTGTGTTGGATCTATTGCTGCACCGTTTGGGGGGAACCGAGCGGGGGAAGTAGAGATTCCAAGGTTTCATTCCAATTTATTTCTCACTGTTAGTGATTCTTTCCTCTCTCCTCTGGTACGTCTGTAAAAACTCTAACAGTAATTATAACCACAGTAAACACCAACTTTGTCTTGAGTGTTGCCTGTGTGCGAGATACTTTGCTAGGCCTGTTCTGTGCGTCTTCTCCTCATAACCAGCCCTGGTGGCAAATGCCCCTTCGACAGAGGAGAAAACCAGGGCTCAGAAATGTGAGGTACCGCGAGCTCCCAGCCTTAAGGAGCGGAGCCAGGATTCAAAGCCTTCCCTCTCAGACCAGCGCTTTTCCCCACGCACCTTGTTGTCCTAAAAGGCAGGTGCCTGTCTCCTAACCACATCCGGTTGGGAGTCTCCCCTCCAGCCAGCCGCCCCCACGGTGTCTTTGTTGAACCCCTACTACGTGTCCAGCATTCGCACCAGGGGATCAGAGATTCCCTGCCACAGGGAGTCCCTGTCTAGGGGGGACGGGAGCGTTGTACTTGTACTACAGCGGGATTAAGTGCGACAGAGGGCACTAGGGGAACATAATCCGGTTTATTTGTTACCATTTCTGGGCCCTTGTAAAGCCTCCGCTTCCTTTGCGGCTCTTTGCTGTCATCTGCTGTTCGCTTGGGGGAAATTACGCACGCTTCGAGAAAAGGCTAGATTTCCTAAGGCGGGTTTCACCTTTGGCCCTGAACCTCGGACCTGGGCCTTGCAGAGGGCGAATCCATCCAGAGTGAGCAGTGGGGAGATGACTCGCCGTAAATCAAAACAGCTGAGGGGTTGGGAGATTCTCTTTCCTAGAAGTCTTGTAATTTTCCAGACATAACTGACGTTGGAGTGTTTGCCCAAAGCAAGACAGCTCTCCTGTAGATACCTCCCACGGCCAGGAGCCCTGTTCTCCTGAAAGGCAAGGTCCCGCTGCTTTCTGTGGCTTGGGGGTGACTGGGTGGTGCTCAGTGGGATCCCATTCCTCCTTGGTTTCTGTGGTCTTCTGGCACCGTCGTAGGAAACAAGACATCCTTTTTACCCCCCACTGTTCTGTTCTTCCTCCAGCCTGTCTTTTAATTTCTGTTTCCTCTCCTCCCAGCTCCTTGCCTTTGGCTCTCTGGAACTACAGTTGATCCTTGAACAATGCGAAGGTTAGGGATGCCCCCCCCCCCCAATTTAAATCCTAACAGCCTCCTCTTGACCAGAAGCCTTACTGGTAAGAGAAACTGTCAATTAGCACCTAGTGTGTATTATGTACTGTATTCCTACAGTAAAATAAGCTGGAGAAAAGAAAATGTTATGAAGAAAATCATAAGGAAGAGAAAACACATTTCTGGTACTGTTCTGCATTTGTCAGGAAAAAATCCACATCTAAGTAGACCTGCACGGTTCAAACCCGTGGTGTTCAAGGGTCAACCATATAGTTTTTAGAACCCCATCCCCACTGACATAACCAGCTCTCCATAGAAATACCTAGTCCTCCTATCTCTTGCCTGAAGCTCCCTCTAATGGACGCTGCTCTCCCTATTCAGCCACATAGGCTGTCGGCCCCCCTCCCCGCGCCATCTCTTCCAGACCAGTATTTCATTTCTCCCTTCGATGAAAATGGTTTCTCCTTTACCATTCTCCCCACCTTTTTTTTTTTTTCATCACTACTACCACCCTTGGCTGCTTCCCCCATATTCCTAAATGCCTTTGGCCCCTGGCACTCGATCGTTTCTATTACAACTCCCACCAGTATCCATGAAGGTTTCCGGTGAAGACCACTCGTCCCACTCCAGCTTCTCGGAGTTTGGGCTTCTCCACTGCAGTGACTTCTGTGTCCTTTTGTCTTCAGCCAACCGACCTTGCCCTCCCCCGGCCCCTAAAACTCCTCTATCTGAGATCCTTAGCCCCTATGTCCCTTTTTGTGACCTGAATCTCTACTCTTTCAGGACTCCTCTCCTTCCCAATCAGCTCGTCCCACTATGACCAATTACTGGAGCTTTCCTTTCACCAGCTCCCAAAAGTGCTTCAGCCCTTCGTCCTTTCCACGGGGATCAGCGTCCAGTCCCAGTGCCCAGCCTTGGCCTACTGGGGGAAACCTCTCGAGTCATTCAGATTTGGGGCCACTAAAATTTCATGGTCTGTTATAATTGTGCTCTCAACACCATTGCTCTTGTGTTCTGTCGTTGGTCATATGTGCTACCCATTGCCCTGAGAAGTCATGTGCTGAACCTTTACCACCCACCTCAAACTTCCCGTCCTCCCCACCGTCAACCAAGGACTGAGCAAACAGAGATTTCCAGGCGGGAATCCCCTCCGTTATTTCCCTCTGCTCTAAAAGCTGCTTCACCCACTCCCATCCTTACCTGTCGTCTTGGAGGAAGTGGTGTTGTGGTTATCTTGCCTCCCTTCCCATCCTCTGGAACTCCGTGCCATCAAGTATCACTCGTGTACTTGAGTTTTCTTTTCTTTTCCTTTTGTTTCATTTACCTGGATTTTCAACTCTTTCTTTCACTCCTGGCTTTTTAGCCAGGAAGGATGCTGAAGTCTTCCCATTCTAAAAAAGAAAGTTTCTCTCGACCCTACACCGTCTCTTCTCACCTTCCCTTCCCAGCTAACCGTCTTCGTAGATTATTAGCCAAACAAGATTTCCTAAACTTCAGTTCTTTGGGCATGACAACTTGTGCCTTATCCACAGAGCCATCTGTATTATTATGTATAGAATATATGTCCTTAAGTCTACTGATTTTTCTTTTTCCTAAAATATATTTGTTTGTGGGGCGCCTGGGTGGCTCAGTTGGTTAAGCGACTGCCTTCGGCTCAGGTCATGATCCTGGAGTCCCAGGATCGAGTCCCGCATCGGGCTC